CAGCGCATCAGTTTCTCCTCAGAGCGTCTGACGAGTTATCGACTAGTCAGGCGATCTATCAATTATCATATATTGGAAGTGAATGGGAAGGAAGGAGGGAGGGAGAGAGAGAGAGAAAGAGGGAAAGAAAGAGACTTCCTCCATGTGCAGGTGCAGTTTACCTCTCGCTTTCCCCCTCCCTCTCTCCCTCTGTCCTCTGTCTCACACGCTCTCTCCCCCCATGGTGAATGCCACAGAGTTACCAGAGACGCATGTGAAAAGTTTTTTTTTTTTGCCCCATTAGAAACCAACAGGCCTAATACTGTTCAGGATGTGATGTGCAGGTTAAACAGTTATACCTTTAAAGGATATGTGTGACATTTCAAAAAAGATAGATATGTACTCTCAGATGTATGTACTGGGGACATATATCTGTTTACACAATCACATTGTGGAGTCTTGTCATCCTTATGGGGACAAAAAGTCCCCAGAACATACGGTAAATCATTACATTTTAGAGTGATAACTTGGTTTAAGGTTAGACTGAGGTTAAAGTTGGGGTAGGTCTCCAGGAAATCAGTGTCAGTCAGTGTAATGTCCCCTGAAAGTGAAGAATCAAAAATGAGAAAAAGGACTGCCTTCGTTCGGGCTGTGATTTTTCTCATTTTTTGTTTCAGTGTGCCATGACCAGCACCTGTCTTTTAGGTGCCCATTCACACTAATTTCATTTCCTGAAGTGATGAAAACACGTGTGATGTGTGTAGTTGTGTGTGTTACGTTTACGTTTACACTCCATCGGTGCCATCTGGTGGACAGAGCATAGAGATATAAGCAAGTCAGAAGTACAAATGTTTGATTCACAGGAAAACTTGCCATTTCAGATTACCTTTTTGTTTTTGTGTGTTTCAAATAACACATTTTTAAGAAGACCAGTCAACGTCTTCAGATTTTGAAAAAGTGAGCCATCAGGCCTTGGTTGATTTGGATTTCCAATGCAGCTAAACTGTTCTTCTATTAGGATATATAGATTAAACATGTTTTTGATATTTTTCATTCATAGTTTTTGCATCACAGTTGCCCTGCCACAAACCAGACTAGATATCATCTCTATCTGAAAAACTAAAACCTGCAGTTTCAGCAGATCAGGTTTTAACAGTAAACACTAATTTGTACTTTTTGAGAATAGTAACACCTGCAAAATTTGAGTAAAGAATAATAAAATATTTGCACTGACTTCAAAAACCAAAATCTGTCTAACTCTTAACTGTGATGAAACCTTATGATATTCTATATAAGTAAAAATTAGACAGCATAAACACCACATTTCACATACTGTACATTTTTAAATAACTTTATTCTGTAGGAATTCTTAAGTGTGTTTTAAGAAATGCAGGGAATTCTCTTTTTATACAAGTCCTCTTTGAATAAAATATTGTTCTTTTTCAAATTGCATTGGGTTGCTTTTAAAACAGACAGCTGAAATCATCTAGTTACAAACAAAATCTGTTAACATTTTTATTAGAATTCAGTGACAGTGTACTCAGACCTCCATCTCACGCTCCCCACTACCTCCAAATACTTTTTAAATTCTTAATTACATTGTTTTGCTTGGTACAAAATATGCTGTTTTACAATATGAATCAAGTCTTTTCTTCATATCGATGACAATGTGGGAGTATATACAAGGGAGGGGGAGAGAGACTGGTGTCATGTGATCTGATGAGGCGCCTCCAGCATCTCCATCAGGAAGGTGTCGATAGGTGTGTCCCCAATCAGTTTGAAGAAAAACAGATGCTCCAGGCACTTCAGCCCGATGGAGCGCAGGGCAGGCAGGCGGAGCAACAGTTTGGCAAACCTGGCGACAGGAAGAGAGAACGTGAAATTATACAAATTCAGACTTAAGAGATCATTTTAAAGATTTTTACTGTATAAGTTATTTACATTTTCCTAAAACCATTTTACTATGTTTTATTATTCAAAATCTGTAAAACCTTATCCAATTTAATTAAACCATTTCACTTATTTACTTGTTAATCTTATTTAGCTCTCACCAGCAAAGGAAAATAATCAATTGCAACTATTTTCTTTAAAAAATAACACCACCGGTCTGTATCTTAGTATGGTCAGAAGAGTTTAGTTATTTAGGAATTTGCTATAATGTAATGTCATCTTCACTGCTCTGTACAAACTAAAGCAGCAATTAAACAATAGCGTCTGATACTGATTGATCCTGTAACGTAGTGCATTTCCTACCTGCCCGGCTGGTCTGGGTATTTCTGTTTTGTATATGACTCCAACGATGCATAGACTTTTTCCCTCAGCCCCTCAACCTCTGGTGGGTTTGAAAGACCTTTTGCATCTGAAACAAATACCAAAAACCACAGTTAGGCACAGCCACGTTGTAACCCTATATAACATCTACCTCTGCAGTCAGAATTGTGATGGCCAGAAAGAAGAGAAAGCTATGATGTTACAAGGCAACTGTGGCAGGGCAGGAACTGGGCAGGAAAAACACATGGGTGCACAGTGAAAACTCTCCAGGTAGCCATAATACCATACTATGATGCCCAATATTATATTTGACCAATCTATGAAAAATTCATCTGCTGAGTTACTGCACTGCAAATATCAAAATAAGCAGTGGAATATTACATCTGTGTATGTCATTTACCAAACAACTAGAGGAATTCAAAATTTCGAGACAGCTCCTTTCTGACATGCACTGCTTGAGATGCTTTCTAGCATAATGTAAAGGTGACAGGAAACATTACTGACCTGGGTTGAAGAGGACGATAGCTCGAAGGCAGCCCAGCTCTGTTTTATCCATTTGCATATCTTTCATTTTAGATACTAATTCTGTCAGAACTCTGCAGGAGATCAAGAGCAAAACTTTAGAGTCACAACACTGACAGTGAATCAAGTTAATAACCAATATATATATTTCTAAGCATTCAACCAAACTTGAGTCACACCACAAACGAAGGCAACTAAGGCAACAGTTGCCTATAGTCATATGGCAATAATCTTCCTACCTCAGACCACAATGCCTCTGGAGTGGTTTGACAGATTTATTGTTTAATACCATTCACCCAACAATTACTTTAACACACTTGACATTTCACTTGTAGTTTCACCTGCTTAATGATAGGGGGCAGCCTTGTAAATACCTTTCAGATACAGTATGAAGGCAAAAATGCTTTGTTGTTATGATTTCATCTTTTCATTTAGTTTGATGTTTCACACTCATTACTTCTCCATTGTGTCAATGAGTGCCTTTACATGGACATGAGTACCGCGGTTATTAAGAGTATCATATTCTGCATATGGTGTTTACATGGAACAGAGCAAGATCTGGTTATGCATATCCCTGTGTATATGATAAAAACTAGTATCCTGGTTACTGATGTTATCTTCTATACTGATCTATATGAATAGCCTAACAGGCTTATTATAATTTGAAAAAGGTTTCAACAAAACTGTATTTATTCATTTTTCATATTGAAAAGGGCTGAGGACATATAGGCCTGCATGCTAATATGAGTAACAGTTAAACATCTTAACACTATCTGGAGATGATGGAGCCTACTAGGCTCAGCATCATTAGACAGGGAAGCAGATGTTAACTCCTCACATCTGTACAGTGGAGAGTGGACGGTGCATGTCATCCAGTATTTTGAAGAATTTAAATGTGGCTGGACGAGACCCCTTTTTTTGTTTTGATGTTTGGCCATGTAGTAATTTCTCTTCAGGATCTGACTTGTTCCACTGTTCATGACAGGAAGCCTGTGTCCTGTAACTCATCCACTGTGTACTGGAATAGGTCAGCATTTCCATGCATTCTCCATCTAAATACTGTGTACATTTACCAAAATTCAAAATTCTGTCTTTTCATCGCTCCAGTGCTTTCACTGCCCATTGTTTGTGTTTATCTCAAGTTGCTTGTGTGCAGTAGCCAAGCCTGCTCAAACAGTCTGGAACGTTCAGAAACCTGGCTAAGATGTATAGATAAAACAGTATGCCAGTTTCCTTCTGAGGACTCCACCTAGCACATTCGGGTTTCGCAAAAGAGTTTATCTTAGTTTCTGAAATGGGAATATGATGTTTACACGAACAAACATAAAAATGGGATAGTACAAAAACCGGATCATATGGCTCATATGACACTCATATCCATATACATGCACTGAATAAGAGCATTTGACTGCCTGTAACCAACAGGACAATACAAGACTATACAATGCAGCAAGTCTTGCCTTATGTTTGATGAGGCCCTACCTATCAAAAATGGAGCCCACTCCAGCGCTGTGGGCACTGCTTCTGTGGACATGGAGACCCGTCGCCAACAGGATACCATCTTTTACTGTAACTGAGCGATGTGAGAATGAGGCGATGAGCAGCTCATTCCAACCTAGATGCAAAAGAGCACACAACTGTGACCTCTGCATTCTATAATCCCTTTAAGTCCATCTCAAATTTGCATAAATAATATATGAAATCATGTCTGTGATTTGTCGGTTTTGCATCGTTTTAGTTCTTGGCTTCCTGTTTCAGGCCTGTGTGTGTAATCTCTCACCAGCAGAGGTCAGTGCTGGTTCAGCTGCAAACCACACCGCTGGGTCTGGGCAAATACAGTACTATTCATTATGTTTGGTTTCACTGCTCCATTAAACCAGATGACAAAAATGTGCTGAGCAAATGTAGCAGACTTAAATAGACTCCCTGCCTGGAAATGAATAGATACCATGAAAATACTACACCACCATGATGATGACTGGCTGTAGAAAAAATAACTAATTGTACAGAAAAGTACCTTTGTAAATCTTCATATGCACACTTAGACACATACACATACAGTATGTCTGCTGAATTTATGCTTTTGTATGTGCGTCTACCTGCTCGCAGTAGGATGACCTGGTCATCGAGGGGGAGCTCAGAAAAGTGCGGGATCCTTTTGGCCCACTCCACCAAGGTGAATAGCTGCTTGTCCGCTGCTTGGCAGATATTGGTGACAGGGTCGTTGGTCTGGAGAGGAACAAAAAATAAGAATGCCAAAACACAGTCAATAACTACAGTATGTGGTGAACTCCTTACATTTGTCTAACAGCAGATAGTGAACAGGCACAGCTGTGGCTATTTTTACCTACTGTGTAAACTAATAATTTCCTCTTAAGACTTGTGAATGTTTTAATGCATTCTTGAAATCCAGCTACAGCTATGTGAGGAGACAGAATGATTAGAAGACGTGGGGGATATTTACTAAAATTGTTGCAAATTACTGTCAGGTGTGCACATTTTTTCATTTATACTAATGCTGATGATGTAAATGAGCACAGCCACAGCTGTGTTAATTTATATACACCTCTGCTTATGTTCTGCTGCCTGAAGGCTGTTACTCATGTGTAGGAAGGAAGTGTAGAAGAAAGTGTATGTTTACAGCAACCAAACATTAATATGGCTGAAGAAATCATCAAACGCATTTTGAAATGGAGGTCAAATCATCTTTTATTTCATTCAGTAAATGAAGCATGGTTTGACTTGAAAGCCTGTAAAAGTCCCTCACATTCTCCTCTGGTGAGCAATGCGCTTTACGAACACCCTCACTCTCCTCAAACATGTTCTTAACTCAAATGAGGTCTTAGATGTCTAACAGCTGCCATGCTGAGAGCAGGGCCACAAGTTTGACACCTGCTTTCTCCTGAAATTTCAGCCACAGTTCCCTCTGCAGCAGTGGTGGTAATTCGGGTGCTGAGGGTATTTGTAAAAGCTTAGTAGATATCCCCCGAGAACTGAATCACCACTTTTCTGACACAGTATAACCAGAAGTCAACATTATGAGCTGTGGGTGTAGGATTTATTGCGAGACTGTCATACTGGATTGCATGAAATTGTATAGTTGTACTCAATAAATGATAAGTGTCTAGTTCACAGGTAATTTACTGACTTCTCAAAATCAATGTGGAAGTTTTACATCTTGAATGGTTATGTCAACACAGCAGAGCCTGGATTCAGTCCTACTGACTGCTGAGTATGTGTTGTTTTTATTTGTTTAGTTTACTAATCAGAGCAACATTTGAATGTAACAATTCATGGGTCTGCATTCTTTGCCAGAATAATTTTCACTTGCACTGATCACTGACTCCCTATCTACTGGCTTCAAAATAGCAAATAACCACTGTGCTTAGCTTGTATATGTTGTTGAACATCATCCATTAGGCCCAAAATCATAAACCAGCATATTTTTAGCATGTAGTGGTTCACCCATCTGTTAGGCACCACTGCAGGCTCATGCAGAAAAAAAAAATAAAAACAATGATCAGTAATTCGTGAATGTGATTCTTACTGAGTTTCCAGGGCTGCCGTCACTGTACGTCTCTGTTTTGGGCTCCACAGCCAGCTCAGCATCCAGGATCTTGTCCACAGGCATGTCCTCATTGAAACTGCTGGTAGACTCCACCTCGCTCTCTCCCCTCTCTTTCCCACGCTGCCTCTCTTCTTGCACCGCTGAACACACACACACACACACACACACACACACACAAAGAAATAGATTTAAGGCCAAACTCCACATTCTTAATCGTCTAGACTAGATATTACTGATACCATAATATCAGTGATATAACACTCCCAAACATTAAAACAGTCCACAAGCAAAGTATAAGCAAAGAACACATTAAACAAATACAATATGTGCTAAGTTGTAATCACTTGAACCATAATGTTCACTATCTTTTTCTTATGTATTCCATATGTTATTAATGAACAATACCAGTACAAATACATGCATTTGTAATTATGTATTCTATGGTGTGGAAGAGATTAAAGAACACAGGCAAGCAGTTCCTGCCCAGACCTATCCCACTGTTAAAAGAAGCCTCTCACACATGCACACACATGCACCTTCTCTCTTCATGCCCATGGCCAGGCACTTCTGGTAGCGACAGTATTGGCAGCGATTTCGCTGGCGTTTGTCAATGAGGCACTCCTTGTTGTCTCGACATGTGTAGGTAAGATCTTTACGGACAGTTCTCTTGAAGAAGCCTTTGCATCCTTCACAGCTATACACACCATAGTGCTTTCCTGTGGAAACAAAGCCCACCACTTCAGTATTGCTTTGAGCCAGTGATATCTCCCAGTAAGCAAAGCTCACAGCGTGGACTGTAAGCCTCCTTATGGCCACATCTTTGGAATCAGGATTGAAAGCATGTTGCCATTTGCGGCACAATGAATGACCCATTTGTAACTATATTAACAGAATAACAAAAAGCAAGGTTTGAGGAGAGTGTACATTTGTTTGTCCAGCCCTCTCCCTCTTCCTCACCCTCTAACATTACCTGATGAACGGTCCCCACAAATGGCGCAGATGTGTTTTGACATCCCCCCAGGGCTCGTACACTGGTAGTTGATGTTTCCCAGGTTCTGTAGGCCCAGTGGAGGCTTGATGTCCTCTGAGCTGCTAACACTATTCATAGAGTTCATCTGAGGAGAACAGAAAGACAGAGGGGGGAACAGAGACAAAGATTTGAAGCTGAGGTGGCCAGAATTAAACAGAACAGAGCATAGGAGGAAGCTGAGGGGAAGTAAAAGTAAAAAGTGTTAAGGTAGTCCCATGACACTCTCTCCCTTCCTCTATTGTCTCATTTTGTCTTCCGTTCTTTTTTTTCCCACCCACACACTTTATTGTGAAAGTACTTCAGGGCCTGATCACATGCTCGGATAGTGGGAGGAGCTGGGGCTTCTCTCTGTGGCTTGTCATGCAGGTTTTTTAAAGTTTGTTGACAAAGAGCGGCATATGAGAAAAGTCACGTGTGCAGCTAGTGCAGTTCTTAAATACAAACAGCAGAGGGTGCTCAGTGTTGGAGCTTCGAAATACTGAAATTAAAGAAATTTCAAAAGTGTTAAAATGCTAATACATAATTAGTTTTTTTAGCCTAAATTTTAACTTTGTTCTGATAATGATGCCTGAGGTGGTTTCACACAGGTTGCGTAATGTGACTGATTACTCTTACTACAACACGAGGTCTCATATATGACAAGGAAGCTCATGAGACATCAAGGTGACTGTGATTGAAATAACTAAAACTCTCCACCCCTCAGTAGGAGGCTCTTAAATGACAGACAAAACATGTTCAAAACAAAGCAACATGTTCATTCTCCTTTGACTTCTGCATATCTCTCTCTTTCTCTTATTATCTTTGTGCCCTTTGACCCTTGCCTGCTGATGAGAGCCAGATGTAATGCATGCTTGTGCTGTGCATTTTACATCAATTTAACTGTTTATGTGCAAACATCTGCACTCCAACTGGAAACTAGGTTGACTTACATATGCTCTACAGTCCTAAATATCTTACAACACGACATAGCACTGACATCCTTCTCACAGTCATCTTGGGCTCTTTTATCATTTTTTTATGATGTGATGCCTATTCTCTAATGGCAGACTGAACTCAGGGCTCTATGGCTGTGACCTTCCATCAGTGACAGGTACAGTATTTAAGACATACAGTACTTTTATTCTGTCTTTCATCTTTCCCTGATGCAGTGCATTCACAGTTCAAATACGTGGCATTTTATACAAAGATACTGCTGTAGAGCTACAAGCACTCATATGGATTAACAGAAGAACATGCTACATCTTACATGAAAGGCTTACTGTACTTGGGTCTTTAATGGGCCAGACATATCATGTCTCCACTTTTCAGTGAAACTCTTGTATCACTTAAAAAACTGATCTCTTTTCAGTTAACACTCATGCAGTTTTGGATTTACAGAGAGTTTTGAAGGCACAATTCATGATACAATCACAAACACTAATAAAAAGATTAGTCAATTAATTGATCTGATAATCAATAGAGAATTAATCTACAACTTTAATATTAACCAATTAATTATTTTTTTTCTTAAAGGAAAATGCCCAAAAGTCACTGGTTCCAGCTTTTAAAATCTCAATATTTAATGGTTTACTTGTCATGGTTTAGCTCCGCTTCTGGGTTGAAGAGCTCTAATTGTGTTAGACTTCCTGCCCTGTGTCACCTCACCTGCCCCAGCTATACCTCAGTACACAATCATCATTCATTGTTTTCACCTGTTGCTTATTATCTCCCGTCTACAGCCCTCCTCCTTTCCCTCAGTCTCTTGCTGGTCCATTGACTAGGTTTGACTCTACTACAATCCTGACAACGCTGAAGAAACTCACTGTATTCCTCGTTCCTGCCTGGTTTGCTCCTGACAATGCCAGTACACTGTCGACTCTCCTGGCTCGGCCACCTTACCTGTGAGTTTCCTGAATCCCCAGCTACACATGTCTCCTGTCCCAGCCTATCCTGTTGTATTTTCCTGTTCGGCCAGTGACGCTGTTACCTACCTGTCTCCGTCACTTTACCCTGCTACTCACCTGTGCACCCCCTTGCCAGAGCCTGGCTCTGGTTCTGCCTCTACTCCGTGCTTCGCCTCAGCTCCACTTTACCCACCTCAGTCTGCCTGCCTCTGCTTACCACCTTCGGGAGGTCCTGCCTGCCTGACTCACCTGAGCGCTCCAGGTTACACAGCTACACTTATGTTCTCTGTACTCTTGTCTGTTATAAAAGACAATGCTGTCAGTTCAGCACTGCTCACAAATGCCAGGTCACCCATGAAAACAGAATGTTACATCACACAGTGACCTGATGGCAACTTGGCCACTGATTGTTGGCAAGCAGTGAAAAGACTTTACAACTGTATTAACCCTGACTGTCCCTAAAGGCACCAATTCATACTGTGATTGAAGTAGTGTAGGCCTACATTGTAAATGGTCTTATACTTATATAGCACTTTTCTATGTATTGCAGCACACTCAAAGCATTTTCACACTACTTGGCCATTCACCCATTTGCACTCATAAACACTCCCACACCGGTGTCATCACCGGGAGCAACTGGGGGTTCAGTGTCTTGCTCAAGGACACTTCGACATGTTGACTGGACAAGCTGGGAATTGACCCGCTCTACCTCCTGAGCCACAGGAGGTACAGCGTCCTGTAACACTGGCCTCGATCCTGCCTCTGAAGCACTACATACATGTGGGATTTGTAGTTCATTCAGTGGACCACTCAGAGAAAGTGTCTCCATTAGCACTCTCTTTCTAAGTACTTAGTGCTAGATGGTAAAAAGGGCATCCTTGTGGCTGTTGCTGTTTGATTTATGCAATGTGAAAAAATGCAGAGAAAGGATCTGTGTTAAGATCACAAATGACTCTGATA